AGTCAACAGGTTAAAGAATAGTTTAAAGTAACACAAGGAATGATACAGTTATGAGATACTCTGCCATGGGCCGACTGAATAATTAATTAATAGTTAATGTTAATAAACATCGGAAGAGAGAATATCAACTTTAAAAAACGTCATTTTTGAGCGCATTGTAGGTGGTGTTTTGAATGATGGCTGTCGGACACCTGCGTTTCTGATGCGTTGATACTTGGCCCTTTCTCTGTAGCCTCTCCATGACGTCTGGAGGATCACAGCTGGGGGAGAAGAAAGTATTAAGGTGTGCTGCAAATATCTGAAACGGATTCGTAATTCTGTTCTGTGTTAAACAAAGATATGTTTGTCACTGGGAACCTCAGTGGTATATATCTCATTATACATACTATGTCTACGTATAAAATGTGTTCTTTGGCAAAACAGGGAATGATGATGGCAACAATAAGAGGTTTTAATACTACTCACACCTAAACACGACACAGAATTTCCTCACAAAGGTAATTATTTTCCTATTCTTTCATGTTTAAAATCCGGATCTTTGCCACCTACCAATCTCTGGCTTTTTGGCCTCAAGTGCATCTTCTGTGTTGAAGAGAGTTTTTGGGAAACGGATGAAAATCTTTGACCTGCAGAGAGATGACAAGAAATTGCAATGCACTAAAAGGTCATTCTTAAATCTGAGGTTCACAAAAACCCTGAGCTGAACAGTGGACAGTTTTGGGACACATTTATAACCTGTATATAAGCTTATAACGTCTTAACAGCTCAGTTGCCTTCTTTGTTTTTTCCATTCACAATCCATTAAATGTTTTTAGTGGGTTGGACTGTGAGAGAGCTTTTGGCATTTATTCTTCTGTTAAATTTGTGATTTTCAAATAATTAATTGTGTCTGTTCTTTTACCTTACATTTGTCCTCACCACATCTGTATATATAATTTTACTGATGATATATTACTACATCTTCCTCTCTCTCCAGTTACCTTCCGAGTTTGTATTCCTCTTCTTTGTACCCTAGGTGGGTGACCAGTGTGGAAACACCATCTACCAGTCTCCCATGCCAGTTGGGCCACGTTTCAGGACACAGGGGTTTATACCTAAAGGCAGTTGGACATTGCTATGAGGACAGTGAGAAAAAAAAGCGACCAGCTGCTGTTTCTTTTTGAAAAATGCATCATTCACCTCTGTAAGAAGGCCTCAAAGCGACGACGATAGGCAAAACCAGCTCTCCTGACTCTCAGGTTTTCCATTAGACCCAAATACTTCACCTGGTGTCTGACCAGAACCTCATCGAATCGTGCTGTAGACAAAGTATTTACTCATTGGAAAGAACACACACACCAAAAAACCCTGTAAACAACACCATTACACTTTAGTTATTTTTGATGATATGGATTTTTTCAAACACATGTACAACTACTAAAAATGGCTCACATGAGGATCATCCTTTCAGAAAGAACGGTGGAACGAAATCAATCAAAGATCAATCAGTGAGAGGGTAAAAAAAACCTAAACCATGATAGAGGTAAGTTGTTTTTACTCATATTTCCCTCATATTTGTGTAGAATCTACTTTTAATTCATTGATATGTTCGAGACTAATCATTTACCGTTCGGATTTTCTAAGCGAATTCACATAACGTCCGGGGTACCTGGCTGCTTGGCATCATTGGGTTTGATACAGCGCACGTAGGACGGTTCTTTGGACATTAGGATCTCCATCAGTTTCATCAAACTGTTTTTAAACTGAGTGGCGGCCTAAAGAACAAATAAAAGCACACTAAACTATGAGAAAATTCTCGTCGATTGGTATGTTGATGATTAACATTCTCTAGGGACGTCTTTATTGTCTGTATTTCCTCTATGCGTTAGCATCTATTTAAGTTAACTCGTACCATCTCTGGACGCTTCTGGTCGATCACTTCCTCTCTGCGGAAGCAGTGACTTAGGATCTGGTTGTCTGACTGGCACATGACCTACACAAGAAAAAACCCACAAAACCACACGTCAACACACCATACAGCCCTCTCTGTCATTCCACGGCTGGATACGCTTTAGTTTTAAATGCCGTGGAGGCGTTCTCCCTTTATTAACCTCACCTCTTTCAGGTTCCGGTTGAGTGAATCATTGTTCTTGTCGAGGAAACCTTGTCAGGGGGAAAAACTGTTTTGATTAATCACATGGACGTGGGTCATTTCCCTGTGATACGTTTCAGTCTCGTGAGGAAACTCTACGAACAAATATTTGATTTGGGCTATTTAAAAACCTACCAGTGACGTTATAGTTAACCTCCCCTGCATAATGCAGCAGCCTGAACTCTTCCCTGCTCACGACCCTGCGAGTTTTTCCATTTGCCAGCTTGTGCCTGTAAGACACACACATGCAGACGTACTAACAATCGAAAGAAAAAAAGGACTTTTTACGAACGTGACGCTTACGTGATGAAATGAGGATGGCCGCCAATGGTGTCCTCCAGTTTCTCCAAAAAGGAGACGTCACAGGCCTCGCCGGGTCTCAGGCATTCCTCGTCCTGAAACCAAGTCACGGTGTTCAACTTAGACAGTAACAAAGGTAAAGACACTACAAAAAGCAAAGTTCATGTACTAGCAGATGTCCTACACACCAGAATGGAGATCATGCCTCTGTGTTTCTCCTCTATGAGGTCGCATATGATCTTGTTGTCGAAATATTTCACCGTCTCCCACTGAGATTTAAGGATAACAGCGATCCGTTAACTTTAAAGAGTAGATAGTTATGAAACAACATGTTCATTTGGTTTCGATCACCCAACTGAACAGACTCACAGCAATCCCTTCTGTCTCGTACTCCTCCTGCTCAGATCTGAGGGTGAGCTCCAGGAACAGCTGCTGGAGCTTCTCGTTGCAGTAGTTTATGCAAAATTGCTCAAAACTATAAGTAGAAGGACAGGGAATCAGTCAAAAATACCTTAAAAACATTCACAAAAAGATTTGTGCTGCTTTTGAAAAATACTCAGATTAACTAACATTGTGAGAAATGATTTATCCCTTTTAAAGCCTGATCCAAGAAAAATAGGAAGAATATTGGATTTTTTTAGTCTGACGTCTTTCTTTGGCCCCTCAACAACATATAAAGAAAAAAAAACTGAAATTATTTTGATCAAATTAGCGTGCAATAAGTCAAAAAACATATTTCCGTGTAGTCTTCTACTGGCTGTTATCAGGTATATCTGAATGTGTACAACAGGGGTTTGAGCAAAGCTTTTACCACTGAATGATGCAAAAAGTCTCAGATGCAAAAGACTTCAGAAACCATATGAATCAGATATGATACATTCGGCATTATAGGGTTAAAGACATCTCAGAAAGAGGGAAATGGTTAGGAGTCGTACCTGTTGTGCTGCAGGACCTCAAAGCCGTAGATGTCCAGAAGCCCGATGACCGAGGAGCCTTTGTTGCTGTGGTAGATTTCATCCTGCAGTTTAATATTAATTCATAATATTAATTCATAATATGCACGTTAATGGCAACAACAGCAGCCTCACAGCATAACTAGATCTTTTGTTCACAGAGTTATTCAATTGAAATCAAATTAATATTATTTATATAGCGTGAGGTATATAGTTACTTCACAGTGCTTTCCAAACAGAGCAGGTCAGACCCTAATCTGAAGTTTACGCTTCAGTTTAATTACAGAAAATCCAACAATTCCCACACATTTCCCACAGTGCACCTTGAGAGCCAGAGACTGGTTGATCTTCTCCACCAACCAGGTGAAGGTCCGACCGTACACCGCCTTGGCCAAAGCGTCACGGGCAGACACTGCCTGCTCGAAATTCAGCGGGCTGATCATCTGCGACACACAAAGAAAAAGAAAGCTTTAAAAAAAAGAATGACTCAACACACACAGCAAGCGAAAAGAAGCAAACAAGTGGAGTCACCTCCTCTCCTTTGGCGGTTAGTTTCTTGTGTGTGAGTGCCTCCTTCAGGGCTGAGACATCAACGCCCAGCAGCTGCAAAACGAAGACACATCATGTTCTCAGATACTTTGTTTTTGTGTTTGTTTTTAAGTAATGTCAGTGGAAACTGCTCTGACCTTTGCCAGGTCTGTTAGCTGGGTCTCCGTGGTGACGTACGCTTCTCCTTCCTCCCCTTCCCCAAAGAGAGTGTTTCCCAGATGGAGAACGCTCGCAATGATGTTCAGCAGTTTCTGAGGTCAGGAAATTCAAGAAAAAGAAAACTTAGCAGTTTATATCAACTTCAGACACTAGTTGTGACGTAATTAGTCGAACTTTGCTAAAGCGAGAAGCCAAATCCAAATCTTTTTTTTTTTTTTTTCAAATTTATCGTTTGTACTAACGTCAAAAAATTTTAAAAGATTGAGGCGAGACTTGACACGGGATCGGTACAGTTGTCATTTTTATGTCATCTTGTTGACCTTAATGTACAGTTATTTACACAGTGACAAGGGAAGAGAGAGTTTAAAAAAACAGCAAGATTTGATTTTTGCCAGGTCTCTCTTGAAAAAGAGATTCCGAATCTCAATGAGACCCATCCATCCATCCATCCATCCATTCTCCTCCGCTTATCCGGGGTCGGGTCGCGGGGGCAGCAGCCGGAGCAGGGAAATCCAGACTTCCCTCCCCCCGGCCACCTCGGCCAGCTCCTCCGGGGGGATCCCGAGGCGTTCCCAGGCCAGCCGGGACACATAGTCCCTCCAGCGGGTCCTGGGTCTTCCTCTGGGCCTTCTCCCGGTGGGACGAGCCCGGAACACCTCCCCAGGGAGGCGACCAGGAGGCATCCTGATCAGATGCCCGAGCCACCTCAACTGGCTCCTCTCCACGTGGAGGAGCAGCGGCTCTACTCCGAGCCCCTCCCGGATGGCCGAGCTTCTCACCCTATCTCTAAGGGAGAGCCCAGCCACCCTGCGGAGGAAACTCATTTCGGCCGCTTGTATCCGCGATCTCGTTCTTTCGGTCACTACCCAAAGTTCGTGGCCATAGACGAGGGTGGGAACGTAGATCGACCGATAAATTGAGAGCTTCGCCTTTAGGCTCAGCTCTCTCTTCATCACGACAGACCGGTACAGCGCCCGCATTACTGCAGACGCCGCACCGATCCGCCTATCGATCTCACGCTCCCTACCCCCATTCGCAAACAAGACCCCGAGATACTTGAACTCCTCCACTTGGGGAAGGACGTCCGCTCCGACCCGGAGAAGGCACTCTACCCTTTTCCGGTGAGAGACCATGGTCTCGGACTTGGAGGCACTGATCCCCATCCCAGCCGCTTCGCACTCGGCTGCAAACCGCTCCAGTGAGAGCTGTAGGTCCCGACTTGATGGAGCCAACAGGACCACATCATCTGCAAAAAGCAGAGATGCGACCCTAAGGCCACCAAGACTGACACCCTCAACACCTCGGCTGCGCCTAGAAATCCTGTCCATAAAAGTTATGAACAGGACCGGAGACATAGGGCAACCTTGGCGGAGTCCAACTCCCACCGGAAACGAGTCCGACTTACTACCGGCAATGCGAACCAGACTCTGACTCCGGTCGTACAGGGACCGAACAGCCCGTAACAAGGGGCCAGGTACCCCATACTCCCGGAGCACCCCCCACAGGATACCCCGAGGGACACGGTCGAACGCCTTCTCCAAGTCCACAAAACACATGTGGACTGGTTGAGCGAACTCCCATGCACCCTCTAGGACCCCGCTGAGAGTATAGAGCTGGTCCAGCGTTCCACGGCCAGGACGAAAACCACCCTGCTCCTCCTCGATCCGAGGCTCGACTATCCGACGGACCCTCCTCTCCAGAACCGCTGAATAGACCTTCCCAGGGAGGCTTAAGAGTGTGATCCCCCTATAGTTGGAACACACCCTTCGGTCCCCCTTTTTAAATAGGGGGACCACCACCCCAGTCTGCCAATCCAGCGGGACTGCCCCTGATGTCCACGCGATGTTGCAGAGTCGCGTTAGCCAACGCAGCCCCACAACATCCAAAGCCTTAAGGAACTCCGGCCGGATCTCATCCACCCCCGGGGCCTTGCCACCGCGGAGCTTTTTGACTGCCTCGGTGACTTCAGCCCCGGAGATTAGAGATCCAAACTCCGGATCCCCAGGCTCTGCCCCTCCAACGGAGGACACGCCAGTGGGATTGAGGAGGTCCTCGAAGTACTCCGCCCACCGACCCACAACGTCACGAGTTGAGGTCAACAGCACACCATCCCCACTGTAAACAGTGTTGGTGGGGCACTGCTTCCCCCCCCTGAGACGCCGGATGGTGGACCAGAATCGCCTCGAGGCCGTACGGAAGTCTTTTTCCATGGCCTCCCCAAACTCCTCCCACGCCCGGGTTTTTTTTAACCAGGAAGTCTCAATGAGACTTCCTGGTTAAATAAAGGTTAAAAAAAATTATTTTTATTGAAACAAATGATAAGATAATCACAATAAAGAATACAGTTCACTTTTTTTGGGGGGGGATAAATGTATACTTATGCAGGTATAACTTCATCTTTTTTTTAATTTTTTAAATTTTTTTAATGTATATATCTATCAACAGTGGGGGAAATAAGTATTTGACCCCTTGCAGAAAATCACTTCATATGAATTTATAAAAATTGATAACCATCTGATGAGGAAAAACAAGCATTCTTTGTAGGTGGGCAAACCTGCAAAATCAGCAAGGGGTCAAATACTTATTTCCCCCACTGTATACACGCAAATATAACAAATCCAACTCTCTTTACTGACCTGGACTTCTTCTTCCGTGAAGCCGATCACTGGGAGGGCCTTTGTCACCACTTTCCAGTTATTCTTGTCGCTAATGGAGCTGACTCTGGGACAATTTCCCTACGGAGAAACGTTAGAAATCACACCGGAGCTCTAGTGGAAAACGGCTGAGTCAGCAAACCGGACCGGACATCCCGTACCTTGACCAGGTAGCTGTACTTCTGTGGGTTTCTCTCCAGGTCCAGCGCTTTGAGCAGGTCGTCGTCCCCTCCGTCCAGAAGCTGGTAGAAGATGTGGAAATTTCTTTCGCCGTGGTTCTGGTGAACAACGCGGGATTTCTCCAGCAGGTAGTTCAGGATGTGACCCCCCACCGGGGCCCCCTTCCAGAGCAAAGAAAAAAACATTGAGAGCACAAAGAAATCAAGAAAAGTTGTTTAATGTTTTGGATGTTTAATCATCGGTCACAAAAACCCCTAACCCTAACCTAAAAAAATTAGAAAGTGTTTTTAGTTTCCTTTAAATGTTTCTATTTTCTACAATAAAAGACGAAGAGAAAGACTCACCCTGAAGTCAAACTGGACATCCATGTACTTTCCGAAGCGACTGGAGTTGTCATTCCTCAGTGTTTTAGCGTTACCAAACGCCTGAAAAAGACCCCAACGAGAAAAATAAAATGTTCTGTTCTGACTGAATAAACCAATAACATTCTTTTTTTTTTTATTTCTTTTTTTTTTTTATATGTTCTTTTAACATTGTAATCTTGGTTTTGCAAAGGCACTGGAGCTGTAAAAAACATATTGCTTTTTCCTTTGTTCCTGCTTTTAACTGTGTTTTAACCATTTTAATTTTTTTTTATTTTGTTTGTTTGTTTTTTTTATGCTGTTTTATGCTGTTCTTTTATTTAAAATGTCTTGTCTTAATGTAAAGCACATTGAGTTGCCGCTTGGTATGAATTGCGCTATATAAATAAAAATGCCTTGGCTTGCCTTGCCATAAGAACAGATCAAAATTAGAAAAGAAAAATTGTCTGTCTTGGCTGTTTAATTAACAGAGATTAATAGAAGATAACAATTCAGTTCAGGTGAATGCATTTATGGAGTGCCTAATCACAATAAATGTCTTAAGGCACAAACAAATTGCACCTTGACCGGCTTTGGTCAGGGATTTACCTCCAGAACGGGGTTGGACTGCAGGAGGCGGTCACCCAGGGCGGCCATGTTCTCGTTGGTGGGGCAGGTGACGGCGTAGTAGAGCAGGATCTTTTTGGAGGCCTCAGTCTTACCTGCTCCACTCTCCCCTGAAATGAGAATACACTGGTCCCTCCGCTCCGTCCTCATGGCCCGGTACGTGTTGTCTGATAACGCGTAGCTGGGGAAAAAGGAAATTAAAAAACTAAATGCACAGAAATCAGTTCTACTCTTCTATTAGGGGTGATAGAAGCTTTAAAGCAACATCAGTATCAATATGTTAAAAACCTTTGACCCAATGATCCAAAAGATATTAAATATATATTGAAAATCATGGCATTGAGTTGTTATGTATAATTTATAAGGTTTATAAATAAAAATTATAATTATAAATTATAAAAATTTTATGTATTACACTCATAATGTTTTGTTTAAGAGATTTAGCAACATCAGTATCAATATGTTAAATACCTTTGACCCAACGATCCCAAAAATATTTTAAAATATTGAAAATCATGGCATGAATCATGGAATTGAGTTATGTATATTTTTTTACGGTTTATGAATTTATAAAATGATTATATTACCTGATTAAATTATTTAATTTTATGTATTACACCCATAATGTTTTGTTTAAGAGATTTAGCAACATCAGTATCAATATGTT